AAGGTTCACAAAAAGTGGCTTTTCCTTCCAGAAATTGCTTGCGAGAAGCACGATTGCGTCAAGAGTAGAAGTGAAAACTTTCTAGAGCGCAAATAACTGTACTGAGAAAAGTCCAACTCTGTGCATTCTCGAGAAGTGATGTTCGATTGCTAAGAAAGAAATGCGAATTCCAAATTATTAGTCATGACCGACAAATCTGCCAAGTTCTTTATATGAATAAGCAAAAAAACCATTCGATGAATCATTGTTTCCAAAGTGAACCAGATAACTTCTACTTTCGGTCAATCTTGAGTACAAAAAGCATTCTGAATGTGTGAGTAACAGAGAGTTTAATACATCATTATGCAGCGAAGAGTAACTGAACAAAGTAAAATAACCGCCAAGTTGGAAAAGGGCACATTGTCCATACTAAAAAAAACTAAAGCAATCTAAACTGAAAAACTTATCTAGCTTACCACTAAACCGAGTAGAAACAACTTCTTGCCTGTTTGAAAGATAAGTGCCACACTTCTCGCATGAGAATGTGCGCCGCCCACCCCAATGTTCCAAGAAAACTCGCGGCATCTGAAAGGAAATGTCACTTGACATGGTTGTAGAGACCACAGAACATCAATGGTAGTACGGAAAGGTTGTAGACCGCAACACGGAGAGAAGAAGTGAAAAAGAAAAATAATTTATTACAGATTGGATTAAATGATCTCGGGAAATAGTCCGAAACAACTGTCACCGTTTGGCATGTGATAGGCTATGTATGAATAGCATGACAAAGAAAATGGCTTCAAAAGAGTTATTACGCCACAAAGCAGGAACAAGAAAAAGGGTAAAAATTAAAATAAAATCACATTAAGAACTCCTGAAGAGAAGTATTGTTCCTCTACCACCAATATGTACATGGAAGTGCATGTGCTCGAATGTATGTTAGCATAATGAAGAAAATTATGCATCTACGGACTAAGGTGACTCAGCTGCCGTAGCAGGAGGTTGTATGGTGGGATTCCTGGTGGAGAGACGCGAATCAGATCTTGACAGGGGCGTAAGGCGTATTCCATGGCGACCACCAAAAGTTTCGAAGACGGGTGACCTAGAGCGATTGTATTTGACATGGTTGTAGAGACCACAGACCTCAGATTTAACATACATGTAAGATAAAAGCAGTGATGGCAAATAAACCTTTTGACATGAAAGGAATATTTAAGACTCCAATATCTATCTCTCTTTACTCGAGATAAAGAAACCTATCATGGAACGCCATAAAAACGAATGTTCCATGCTTTGAAAATGAATATGGATCCAATTCGAATTCGTTGCAAAAATGAATAAACACTAGCGGAATTGATAAATCGACAAAAACTTTTAAACTCTTGTAGTTATCGCTATCCTTTCTTACTGAAAAAGTAGAAATATTCAATAAAAGCAAGAAGATGTTCAAAAACAAAAATACCCTTCCACGGCGCTCACGTCATGAATGATTCAACTGTGTTTCAAAAGGCTCACGAAGGCGGCTGCTCATGAGTTTCAAGTGCACCAGCTGGGTCGGGAAATCCATCCTCTTCATCGACGAGTGCTTTCTCAAGAATCACACGAGCCTCCTTGTAACGCTGAGATTCCTCCATAGCAAACTCATACATCCACCCAACCTTCTTCTAGAAAAGTAAACATGAAAAATGAAATGCTAATTCATGCGACGACTCACGTGACAAATTCTGCACATTACATCACGAACAATGTGTTTGCCCGTCATCATATCTCTATGTTGTGCTTCTGAATAGTCCAGATTCCAGGCACGATGGAATAACATGGCACGGCCAGATGATCCTATAAAAAGCAGATCAAAAAACCAATATTAATTTCTCGAGAAAAAAAAA